ACCTGTTATTCTTTTTTTTCTTGCCTAACTGCTCTGAGTAGGACTTCCAGTACTATGTTCAATACAAGTGGCAGACTGAACATCCTTGACTTGTTTTTGATCTTAGAGGAAAAGTATTCAGTTTTTCACTGTTGAGTATCGTATTTGCTACAGGCTTTTCATTTATAGCCTTTATTATTAATATATTGAGTTAGTTTATTAGTATTTCTAGTTTTTTGAAGGTGTTTATCCTCAAGGCTGCTGAAGTTTGTCAAATACTTTTTTCACATCTGTTGAGATAATCATGTGGTTTTTATCCTACATACTGTTGATGTAGTGTATCATATTAATTGATTTCTGTATGATGAAATATTCTTGCATCCTGGAGTTAAATTCAACTTGGTCATGGTGTATGATCCTTTTAATATGCTGCTGAATTCAGTCTGACAGCATTTTATTGAGTAGTTTTGCATCTATATTTATTGAGAATTAAAGAAGACACACAAGAGATAAAGAGAAAGGAACCAAAGCTTATCAATACAAAAAAAAATCAATGAAAGACAAGGAAAGATAGCATGACAGAAAAAGATGGGCAAAAGTATTACAAGACAGAAACAATGTAAAAAATAGCAATAGTAAGTCTTAATAGTTCAATAATTCTTTAAGTGTAAATGGAGTAAACTCTCCAGTTGAAAGACGTAGAGTAGCAGAATAGATATAAAAACAAGATCCAATGTATTTTATGTAGAGGGGACTCACTTTAGGTTTAAGAACACATATAGGGAGAGAGATCCAAGATGGCTGATTACTAGCAGCTCAGGATTGTAGCTCCCAGTGAAAGCACAGAGAACGAGAGGATGCCACACTTTCAGACAAGTTTTTGTTGCTCACAGACCAGGAGATTCCCAGCGGAGGAGCTCCATGGGTCACCAGCGCGACTCTTGTGGCTGGCGCCACGGTTTTGCCAGCACCCCGGCACAGCGGTTCTTGGTGCAGAGTAAACGTGACTGGGTCCCCTTTTGGTCAACGTTTGGAGCACCAGGAAGGCAGAATCGCCTATTCAGCTGATTGAAAAAAAGACTCAAGAAGGAAGCCAGACCAGAGATTCCCAGGCAGAAAAGCACCACAAATCTTAATGCCGCTGTTTTGGCCAGCGCAGTGGGTTGCTCAGATTCCGACGCTGGGAATCAACAAGTTGGACGTCCACTCAGAGACCTAATTTGAAAGTCAGTAATTACAAAGACAACAGGTGGATAAATTTATAATGATGAGAAGAAACCAGCGTAAAAAGGCTGAGAATACCCAACATCAGAATGCCTCTCCCTCTACAGGGGATCACAGTTCCTCATCAACAAGGGAACAAGGCCTGATGGAGAATGAGTGCATTCCATTAATAGATTTAGGCTTCAGAAGGTGGATAATAAGAAACTTCTGTGAGTTAAAAGAACATGTTCTAGCCCAAGGTAAAGAAACTAAGAACCTTGAAAAAAGGTTTGATGAAATCCTAACAAGAATAGGCAATCTAGAGAGGAATATAAGTGAATTAATGGAACTGAAGAATACAATACGAGAACTCCGCAAAGTATACACAGGTTTTAACAGTCGAATTGATCAAGCAGAAGTAAGGATATCAGAGGTCGAAGACCAACTTAATGAAATGAAACGAGAAGACAAGATTAGAGAAGAAAGAGTAAAAAGGAATGAGCAAAGTCTCCAAGAAATATGGGACTATGTGAAAAGACCTAATTTATATTTGATAGGTGTGCCTGAATGTCATGAAGAGAATGAATCCAAGCTGGAAAATATTCTTCAGGATATTACTCAGGAAAACTTTCCTAACCTAGTAAGGCAGGAAAATACTCATCTTCAGGTAATACAGAGGACACCGCAAAGATATTCCTCAAGTAGAGCAACCCCAAGACACATAATCATTAGATTCACAAGGGTTGATATAAAGGAGAAAATTCTGAGGGCAGCTAGAAAGAAAGGTCAGGTTAGCCATAAAGGGAAGTCTATCAGACTCACAGCAGATCTCTCAGCTGAAACCCTACAAACTAGAAGAGAGTGGGGGTCAATATTCAATATCCTCAAAGAAAAGAATTTTCAACCCAGAATCTCATATCCAGCCAAATTAAGCTTCATAAATGAAGGCAAAATAAAATTTTTCACAAACAAGCAAGCACTCAGAGATTTCATCACCACCAGGTCTGCTTTACAAGAGCTTCTGAAAGAAGCACTATACACAGAAAGGAACAACCAGTATCAGTCATCCCAAAAATGTACCAAAAGGTAAACAGTATCTCCATAATGAAGAATCTATATCAACTAATGGGCAAAATAGCCAGCTAGCATTAAACGACAATATTAAACTCACAAATATCAATATTAATCCTAAATTTAAATGGATTAAATGCCCCAATCAAAGACACAGACAGGCAAATTGAATAAAAAGTCAAAACCCATCAGTTCGCTGTATCCAGATCCATCTCATAAGCAAGGACACACAAAGACTCAAAACAAAGGGTTGGTGGAAGACATATCAATTCAAATGGAGAGAAAAAAAAATGAAAAAGAAAACAGGAGTTGTAACTTTCGTCTCTGACAAAATAGACTTTAATAGTAACAAAGACTAAAAGAAACAAAGAAGGATATTACATAATGGTAAAAGGATCAATACAACAACAGGAGTCAATGATCATAAATATATATGCACCCAATATAGGAACACCCAGATACATAAGACAAGTTCTTAATGACTTATAAAGAGACTTGGACTCCCGCACAATAATAGCGGGAGACTTTGACACCACATTGTTAATATTTGATGGATCAACGAGATAGAAAATTAACAGGGACATCTATGATTTGAACTCAGACCTGGAACAAGTAAACTTGGTGAATATTTCTAGAATTCTTCACCCCAGGTCCACAGAACATACATTTTTCTCAGTATCATATTACACCTATTTTGAAAGTGACCATATAATAGGAAGTAAATCACTCTTCAGCATTTGCATAGCATTTCACAGACTTAAATGAAATATTGGTTGGCTGCTTGTTTGTTATTTTCTTCCCTTATTCCTTCCTGTCTCCACTGTTAAGCACAATTATCGGCATAAAAGAGGTTTTTAATACCTATTTTTAGATTGCATTCCAGCCTGGGCAATAGAGCAAGACTCCTGTTCTCTCTCTCCCCTTTCTCTTTCTCTTTCTTTCTTTCATTCAAAAAAAAAAGAAACGAATAAAGTTGAAAAATTTCTGGTAAGATTGAGCAAGGAAAAAGAAAGAGGACAAAGGAATGCCAGGAATAAAAAAAAAAAAACACACACACATAGGCTGAAAGTGAAGGAATGGAAAAAGAGATCCCATGCATATGGAAACCAAAAGAGAGCAGGAGTGGCCATATTCATATAAAAAAAAAAAGACTTCAAGTCAAAAACTGTAAAAAGGTGCAAAAAGGTCATTATATTATGATAAAGGATCAATATATCCAAGAGGATATAACAATTGTAAATATATATGCAACCAACTTTTGAGCAAGTGGAAAAAAAGTAACAGAAAAAACAACGGCAACCACCGGTGATTGAGGAAGGTTACCCTCTATTCTTCCAGTGATATTGAAGAGAGGAACTGTGATTATCCTATACCTAAAACTTGAATGTTTCAGGTAAAGAGTTAGCTAAAGAGGTAGTATAGGCTGGTAGATTCCAGAAGTTAGGAAATCAATCTTTCAAAAGCCTGATGTAGCTAGAAGTAGAGAGGAAAGAGATGATTAACCCGTGGCAAAAGTCTTACAACAATAAATCATTATTCCATACCTGCATAATCCAAGACTTTACATTGTATTATTGTGTATTTCAAAGTGTAGTACTATACTCTAACTTGCTTTCTTAGTGAATTTAAGAGATTTTTAAAAGACTGCATGAACAGTTCATTTATTAAATCTCTTACTGATACTTTGTGATAAATTCTCAAATGTAATGCTAGGCCAGGCGCGGTGGCTCAAGCCTGTAATCCCAGCACTTTGGGAGGCCAAGGCGGGTGGATCACAAGGTCAAGAGATCGAGACCATCCTGGTCAACATGGTGAAACCCCGTCTCTACTAAAAATACAAAAAATTAGCTGGGCATGGTGGTGCGTGCCTGTAATCCCAGCTACTCAGGAGGCTGAGGCAGGAGAATTGCCTGAACCCAGGAGGCGGAGGTTGCGGTGAGCCGAGAGCGCGCCATTGCACTCCAGCCTGGGTAACATGAGTGAAACTCCGTCTCAAAAAAAAAAATGTAATGCTAATCTAATTTCCTTCTTCCTCTACCACACTTTCTTTTACACATGCGCATACACACACTCCATAAACACACTCCTCTACATAAAAGAGACCAATAGCTCTAGTTCACAATGCCTAATAAAAATGCTTTTTCACAGGTCATAGTTAATATTTAACATTTTTCTCTTCCTTAAAAAAGTAAAGGAGCACTGGTGAAGCGTGGTGGCTCATGCCTGTAATCCCAGCACTTTGGGAAGCCAAAGCAGGAGAATTGCTTGAGCTCAGGAGTTTGAGACCAGCCTGGGCAAATGGCAAAATCCTGTCTTTATGAAAAAAAATACAAAAATTAGCCAGGCATGGTGGCGTGTGGCTGTAGTCCCAGCTACTTGGGAGGCTGAGGTGAGAAGACTGAGCTCAGGAGGTCAAGGCTGCAGTGAGCTGTGGTTGTGAGACTGCACTCCAGCCTGGGCAACAGAACTAGACCCGGTCTGAAAAATAATAATAATAATGATAATAAAATAAAATTTAAAAATAAAATAAAGCAGAATTAAAACTTTTAAAAACTCTTAATAGGGCCTAAGACTTTTCTTTGAAAGTATCACACCCACCATATGCCAAAACTATAGCGAAATGCATATTTATTTCCTAACAAAAAAGAAATCTCTTTAAAGCAAATTACTAATTGTCTTTTTGCTACATAATCACTTTGATTTCAATTATCTTAATAGTAAACAAAAAAATCAAATTAGTTTCTTACCTACTGCTATAACATTTTCAAGTTCCTCTTCAGATGGATTACTTTCTGTGCTTTCAGATGCCTCATCCATATTAGTTTCCTAGAAGCAAAAAAAGAAAAAAGAAAATATATTGGGAAAAATATGTAAAAAACTAAAACATTTTCCTCTGCCTTCATAACTACATTTAATACAATATAACTTCCCACCCAACCCAAATTTAAAGAAGATAAGAGGGAGATGGTTTTGTGAGAAAAGCAATCGAAAGAGCATTATTATTATTATTATATTTTTTATTGCACTTTAGGTTCTGGGGTACATGTGAAGAACATGCAGGATTGTTGCATAGGTACATACATGGCAATGTGGTTTGCTGCCTCCATCCCCTTCACCTATATCTGGCAATTCTCCCCATGTTATCCCTCCCCAAATCCCTACCCGCTGCTGTCCCTCCCCTAGCCCCCCAACAGACCTCAGTGTGTGATGCTCCCCTCCCTGCATCCATGTGTTCTCATTGTTCAACACCTGCCTATGAATGAGAATATGTGGTGTTTGATTTTCTGTTCTTGTGTCAGCTTGCTGAGAATGATGGTTTCCAGATTCATCCAAGTCCCTACAAAGGACCCAAACTCATCGTTTTTTATGGCTGCATAGTATTCCACAGTATAAATGTGCCACATTTTCCCTGTCCAGTTTATCATCGATGGGCATTTGGGTTGATTCCAAGTACTTGCTATTGTAAACAGTGCTGCAATGAACATATGTGTGCATGTGTCTTTATAACAGAATGATTTATAATCCTTCAGATATATACCCAGTAATGGGATTGCTGGGTCAAATGGAATTTCTATTTCTAGGTCCTTGAGGAATCCCCACACTGTCTTCCACAATGGTTGAACTAATTTACACTCCCACCAACAGTGTAAAAGTGTTCCTATTTCTCCACAACCTGTCCAGCATCTGTTGTCTCCAGATTTTTTAATGATTGCCATTTAACTGGCGTGAGATAGTATCTCAATGTGGTTTTGATTTGCATTTCTCTAATGACCAGTGATGATGAGCATTTTTTCACGTTTGTTGGCCTCATATACATCTTCTTTTGAAAAGTGTCTGTTCATATCCTTCACTCACTTCTGAATGGGTGTGTTTGTTTTTTTCTTGTAAATCTGGTTTAGTTCTTTGTAGATTCTGGATATAAGTCCTTTGTCAAATGGGTAGATTGCAAAAACTTTTTCCCATTCTGTTGGTTGCCGATGCACTCTAATGACTGTTTCTTTTGCTGTGCAGAAGCTCTGGAGTTTAATTAGATCAGATTTGTCTATTTTGGCTTTTGTTTCCAATGCTTTTGGTGTTTTGGTCATGAAGTCCTTGCCTATGCCTATGTCCTCAATGGTTTTGCCTAGGTTTTCTTTTAGGGTTTTTATGGTGTTAGGTCTTATGTTTAAGTCTTTAATCCATGTGGAGTTAATTTTAATCTATCTGGTGGATGGATTAAAATTAACTCCAGGTTAAAATTAACCCATCAGGTAGGGCTCCAGTTTCTGCTTTCTGCACAAGACTAGCCATTTTTTCCCAAAACCATTTATTAAACAGGGAATCCTTTCCCCATTACTTGCTTTTGTCAGGTTTGTCAAAGATCAAATAGTTGTAGATGTATAGTGTTGCCTCCAAGGCCTCTGTTCTGTTCCATTGGTCTATATATCTGTTTTGGTACCAGTACCATGCTGTTTTGATTACTGTAGCCTTGTAGTATAGTTTGAAGTCAGGTAGCATGATGCCTCCAGCTTTGTTCTTTTTGCTTAGAATTGACTTGGCTATGTGGGCTCTTTTGGTTCTATATGAAGTTTAAGGTGGTTTTTTCCAGTTCTGTGAAGAAGGCCATTGGTAGCTTGATGGGGATAGCATTGAATGTATAAATTACTTTGGGCAGTATGGACATTTTCATGATATTGATTCTTCCTAACCACGAGTATGGAATGTTTCTCCATGTGTTTGTGTCCTCTCTTATTTCATTGAGCAGTGGTTTGTAGTTCTCCTTGAAGAGGTCCTTTACATCCTTTGTTAGTTGTATTCCTAGGTATTTTATTCTCTTTGTAGCAATTGTGAATGGCAGTTCATTCTTGATTTGGCTCTCTTTAAGTCTGTTATTGGTATATAAGAATGCTTGTGATTTTTGCACATTGATTTTGTATCCTGAGACTTTGTTGAAGTTGCTTATCAGTTTCAGAAGATTTTGGGCTGAGATGATGGGGTCTTCTAAATATACAATCATGTCGTCTGCCAATAAAGACAATTTGACTTCCTCCTTTCCTAATTGAATACCCTTTATTTCTTTTTCTTGCCTGATTTCTCTGGCTAGAACTTCCAATATGATATTGAATGGGAGTGGTGAGATGGGGCATCCTTGTCTAGTGCCAGGTTTCAAGGGAATACTTCCAGATTTTGCCCATTCAGTATGATGTTGGCTGTGGATTTGTTGTAAATAGCTTTTATTATTTTGAGATAAGTTCCATCAATATCTAGTTTATTAAGAGTTTTTAGCATAAAGTGCTGTTGAATTTTGTCAAAGCCTTCTCTGCATCTATTGAGATAATCATGTGGTTTTTGTCTTTGTTTTTGTTTACACAGAATTACGTGTATAGACTTGTGTATGTTGAACCAGCCTTGCATCCCTGGGATGAAGCCTTCTTGATTGTGATGGATAAGCTTTTTGATGTGCTGTTCCAATCAGTTTGCCAGTATTTTATTGAAGATTTTTGTATCTATATTTATTATAGATATTGGCCTGAAATTTTGTTTTTTTGTTGAGTCTCTGCCAGGTTTTGGTATCATGATGATGTTGGTCTCATAAAATGATTTGGTAAATATTCCCTCTTTTTGGATTGTTTGGAATAGTTTCAGAAGGAGTGGTAGCAGCTCCTCTTTGTATGTCTGGTAGAATTCGGCTGTGAACCCATCTGGACCTGGGCTTTTTTGGTTGGTAGGCTATTAATTGCTGCCTCAACTTCAGCCCTTGTTATTGGTCTATTCAGGGTTTTGACTTCTTCCTGGTTTAGGCTTGGGAGGGTGCAAGTGTCCAGGAATTTATTCATTTCTTCCTGATTAACTGGTTTATGTGCATAGAGTTGTTTGTAGTAATCTCTGATGGTGGTTTGTATTTCTGTGGGATCAGTGGTGATATCCCTTTATTGTTTTTTATTGTATCTATTTGATTATTCTCTCTTTTCTTTTTTATTAATCAAGCTAGTGGTCTATTTTGTTGATCTTTTCAAAAAACCAGCTCCTGGACTTATTGGTTTTTTGAAGGGGTTTTTGTATCTCTATCTCCTTCAGTTCTGCTCTGATCTTAGTTATTTCTTGTCTTCTACTAGCTTTTGAGGGTTTTTTTGAGCTTACTCCTCTAGTTCTTTCAATTTTGATGATAGGGTATCGATTTTAGATCTTTCCTTACTTCTCATGCAGGCATTTATTGCTATTAATTTTTCTCTAGACATTGCTTTAACTGTGTCCCAGAGATTCTGGTACATTGTGTCTTTGTTCTTGTTGGTTTCAAAGAACATCTTTATTTCTGCCTTCATTTCATTGTTTATCCAGTCAACATTCAGAAGCCAGTTGTTCAGTTTCCATGAAGTTGTGTGGTTCTGAGTTAGTTTCTGAATTCTGAGTTCTAATTTGATTGCACTGTGGTCTGAGAGACTGTTTGTTATGATTTCCATTCTTTTGCATTTGCTGAGGAGTGGTTTACTTCCAACTATATGGTTGATTTTAGAGTAGGTGTGATGAGGTGCTGAGAAGAATGTATATTCTGTGGATTTAGGGTGGAGAGTTCTGTAAATGTCTTTAGGTTTGCTTGTTCCAGGTCTAAGTTCAAGTCCTGGATATCCTTGTTAATTTTCTGTCCTGTTGATCTGTCTAGTATTGACAGTGGAGTCTTAAAGTCTCCCACTATTATTGTGTGGGAGTCTAAGCCTCTTTGTAGGTCATTAAGAACTTGCTTTATGTATCTGGGTGCTCCTGTGTTGGGTGTGTATATATTTAGGATAGTTAGCTCTTCTTGTTGTATTGATCCTTTTACCATTATGTAATGCCTTTCTTTGTCTCTTTTGATCTTTGTTGGTTTAAAGTCTATTTTATCAGACACTAGGATTGCAACTCCTGCTTTTTTTTTTGCTCTCCATTTGCGTGGTAAATCTTCCTCTATCTCTTTATTTTGAGCCTATGTGTATCCTTGCATGTGAGATGGGTTTTCTGGAAACAGGACACCAACGGGTTTTGACTTTTTGTCCAATTTGCCAGTCTGTGTCTTTTGATTGGGGCATTTAGCTCATTTATATTTATGGTTAATATTGTTATGTGTGAATTTGATCCTGCCATTTTGATGCTAGCTGGTTGTTTTGCCCATTAGTTGACACAGTTTCTTCATTGCATCAATGCTCTTTACCATTTGGTATGTTTTTGGAGTGGCTGGTACTGGTTGTTCCTTTCTATGTTTAGTGCCTCTTTCAGCAGCTCCTGTAAAGCAGGCCTGGTGGTGATGAAATCTCTAAGCAATTGCTTGTTCATAAAGGATTTTATTTCCCAAAGAGCATTAATTTAAGGAGCCATATACTCTGGCTAGGAGTTGATGTTTCAAAGAAAGACTATCCGAAAATGATAGACTATTTTAATGATGAATGTAGGAGATAAATATTATAAGATAAATTACATAATATTATATCTTCAGGGAGTATGAGAGGATATCCCCAGGAAACAGACAGAATACTTTTTTTATTAGAATACATTATGCCCTATGAGTTAAAAGTGATGTGTCTCTTTACGAAATTCCAAGGAGAATTATAAGGTAAAGGTGCTGTAAAATACTCATCTTTTAATAAGAACCCAAAGTTCTTACTCCTTTTAATAAAAAGCCCTTCAAAGTATCCCTAACGTATAAATAGTGTCTTGGTAAATACTAATCAGTTTATTCTACAGCAATACAACTCTGCCCAATTATCATTGAGGCATTTAATACATGAAACTATCAATATGTTACTACATTTTAGAACTGTGATTGTAGCCAATGTTTTATGTATCCACTGAGAGAGCTATGAATCTTTTATTTCCAGTTCAATGTGTTTATGTTAGAATGTATTTCTAAATGTTAAATCTTGCTCATATATCTGATAAGGGTTTAATGTCCAGAATATACAAAGAACTCTTACAACTTAACAATAAAAAGAAAAATAACTCAATTTTTAAATTGGCAAAGAATTTGAATAAATTTTATCCAAAGAAGATATACAAATGTCCAGTAAACACATGAAAAGATGTTCACATCATTATCCATTAGAGAAATGCAAATCAAATCCACAATGAGATACCACTTCAAACCCAGTAGGATGGGTATAATAATAATTATTAAAATTAAAAAGGGGTGGTGAGGATTTTGATACTTCATACATTGGTGGTTAGAATGTACGATGATGTAGCTGCTGTGGAAAACAGTCTAAAAGTTCCTCATAAATCTAAACAGGGAATTATCACACAATCCAGCTTTCACTCCTTTATATATACACAAGAGAATTAAAAACATTTGTTTATACATAAACTTGCATATAAATGTTCATAGCAGCATTATTCATAGTAGCTTTTAAGTAGAAACAACCTAAATGCCTATTAGCTGATGAATGCATAAACAAAATGTGGTATGTCTAAATAATGGAATGTTATTTGGAGAAAGAAAACAATGAAGTACTGGCACATTCTACAACAGGGGTGAAACCTGAAAGCATGGCAAGCCAAAGACGCAAATCACAAAGGACAACATACTGTATGATTCCATTTGTATGAAATGTCTAGAAAAGGCTAAAGCTATAGAGTTAGAAAGTTGACTAATTGCTGTCTAGGGCTCGTGGAGGGGATAGAAAAATTGGGAGGTATTGGCTAAAGGGTATGGGTTGCTTTTGCAGCTGATAAAGATGTTCTAAAATTGACTGTGGTGTTGGATATGGAACTCAGTGAATATACTAAAGGCCACTGAGTTGTACACTTTAAATGGGTCATTTGTATGGTATATGAATTATATCCCTATAAATTATCAATAACTATTAAACCTTATAAATTAAAATCTTATAAATTATCAATAAATATTCATTGAATGATATACTATTGAAACAGGTAAGTACCTGATCCATGAAAAGGATTTTATATATCATGGACAAAAAATTTGATTACTTTTAATTATCACAATCTCATTCTTAATAAAAAGTATTAAAATCTATATATAGGAGAATGTATTATGTCATTTACCTCAGGATCCTTAGGTTCCAATTTTGGCATTAGAATGCTTTCTAAATAGTTAGCTTTGTCTATCCATGTATTCAGATTTCTATATTCTTTTTTCATATTTTCCAGCCTAAAGAAAGAAATCAGTTATGAATGAAAAAAGCAAGTGATAGTAGAAAATATATGGCATGATTCACAGAAGAATATATGCAATGTGATCCATTTATAAAATGTTCTAAAAGAGACAAATTAACAATATATTGTCTAGGGATACCGTCAAAGGAAAGGGAATGATTACAACAAAAAACAAAGTACTAGTTACCTGGGGATAGTTAGGGAGAGGGATGTAATCTCACAAGGGTACACAAAACATATTTCTGATATTAGTGGTGGTGTATTCCTTAACCTGAATCATAGATATGTATACAATGGGCTTATTATCATTACTTCGGCTATACACACATGTTATAGAAATTATTCAATATATAAATTATTACTCTTAGTATTTAAAGTATATTGCTTAGTCTGTTTGGACTGCTATAACAGAATTCAATAGGCTGAGTGACTTAAACAATAGACATTTATTTCTCACAGTTCTAGAGGCTGGGAAGTCCAAGATCAAGGTGCTGGCAGGTCCAGTGTCTGATGAGAGTAGTCTTCCTTGTTTGCAAATGGCCTTCTTACATCCTCACATGGTGGAAAGAGATGGATCTTGTGTCTCTCTCTCTCTTTATAAGGGCATTAATCCCATCATTATAACATCCTACCCTCATGACCTAATCCAACCCTAATTATCTTCCAAAGGCACTACCTCTAAATACCATCACATTGGGGATTAGGATTTTAACATATGAATTTGAGGGGAGACACAAACATGCACATAGAGATTATACATGGTACCATTTGCAATTGAGAGAAATGTAAGCAAACATAAGGATGCTGTATTAAATCATAACTGAATAAATTAACTTCAGTTCATACTGTACTACTGTAATAATTTCGTAGTCACCTATTGTTGCTATTGCAGTGAGTATTCATTTTTAATGCCATGTGACACTAATCATCTCTGCATGAGAAGTCTTTCTAGTAAATAATTGCATGTCATTGTAAAAAGTGATCTCGTGGTTCTTTGTATTTTTTTTTTTTTTTTTGTTTGCTTTTTTTTTTTTTTTTTTTGTCTTTTTTGAGATACAGTCTGGTTCTGCTGCCCAGGATGGAGCACAGTGATGCGATCTCAGCTCAGTGCGATCTCAGCTCCACCTGCCAGGCCCAACTAATTCTCCCATCTCAGCCTTGAGTAACTACATGAGCATGCCATATCCAACCAATTTTTGTATTTTTTGTGACATAAGGTTTCACCATATTGCCCAAGCTGGTCTCAAACTCCTGAGCTCAGGGAATCCTCCCCTCCTAAAGTGCTGGGATTACAGGTGTGAGCCACTGCGACAAGCCCTTGTATATTTTTCACTAAGCTTAGTAGTGTAAACCTTTAATAACACCATGGGACCTGTATGAAATGCCACTAGTGATGCTAGAAGTGCTCCTAAGAAACAGAAAAAAATTATGACATTACAAGAATAAGTTGAGTTGCTTGACATGTACCATAGATTGAGGTTGCCCATCATTTCAAGATAAATGAATCCAGCATAAAAATTCATGAAGCCATTGCTAAAACCACACAAGCAGGTGCAAAAACTTTGCACTTTTTGTAAAACATAAAATATTTGCCGACTGTTTATGTTATTGGTGGGCTTCCAGTCAACAGTAGGCTATTAGTAGTTAAGTTTTAAGGGGGTCAAAAGTTATGTATGAATTTTCAACTGCATGAGTAGGGGGTGGAAATCCTAACTTTCCATTGTTCAAGATTTAACTCTGTTAACATTATCTTTGCAACAGCCTCAATTACATTTATCATCTTAATAAATGTAATTTTACTCACTCTTCTTGAACATGCTGTAACCCCAATTCAAGCTTATGACTCCATACTCCTAGTTAGTCTTTACTTTATGACCCAGTAGTCCTACACTGACCATATAGTTAATCCTACCTCCTGACCACCCACAGGAACATTATTAACTCTATTCGTGACACCTTAGTAATACAACTTCACTTTAACTTGATTATTTTATTATCTTTAGGTCTACTAACTAATATATTAATGGCCTACCAGTGATGATGTTGTAGCTGAGAAAGCTCATTACAAGACCATCACATATTAATCATTCAAAAATGCCTACAGTACAGAATAATTTATCATATTACAAGCTTTCTTCTGAGCCTTCTACCACTCAAGTCTAGCCCCAATCCCAGAACTGGGAGGTTGCTGACCACCAACAGGTATTCACCCACTTAATCTCCTAGAAGTTTACTCAATACATCAGTCCTGTTAGCCTCAAGAGTATCAATCACCTGAGTGCACCATAGCTTAATAGAAGAAATCCATAAAAATATACCTCAAGCTCTTTTCATCACAATTTCATTAGGCATTTCTTTTATATTATTACAAACCTTAGAACACTTCAAAATATCCTTTACCATTTGCAATGGTGTAAATGGCTCAACATTCTTCATAGTAACAGGCTTCCAATGACTACATGCAATTATCAGAGCCCCAACTTCCTTATCCTCTGCTTCTTTTTTTTTATTGGGTACATGTGCAGAACGTGCAGGTTTGTTCCAAAGGTATACACGTGCCATGGCGGTTTGCTGCATTGATCACCCTGTCATCTACACTAGGTATTTCTCCTAATACTATCCCTCCCCTAGCCCCCCACCCCCATACCAGCCCCAGTGTGTGATGTTTCCCCTCCCCATGTCCATGTGTTCTCATTGTTCAATACCCACTTATGAGTGAGAACATGTGGTGTTTGGTTTCCTGTTCCTGTGTCAGTTTGCTGAGAATGATGGTTTCTAGCTTCATCCATGTCCCTCCAAAGGACATGAACTCATCCTTTTTTATGACTGCATAGTATTTCATGGTGTATATGTGCCACATTTTTTTTATCCAGTCTATCACTGATGGGCATTTGGGTTGGTTCCAAGTCTTCGCTATTGTGAACAGTGCTGCAACAAACATATGTGTGCATGTATCTTTACAACAGAATGTTTTATAATCCTTTGGGTATATATCCAGTAATGGGATTGCTGGGTCAAATGGTATTTCTAGTTCTAGATCCTTGAGGAATTGCCACACTGTCTTCCACAATGGTTGAACTAATTTACACTCCCACCAACAGTGTAAAAGCATTCCTATTTCTCCATATCTTCTCCAGTATCTGTCTCCTGATTTTTTAATGATCACCACTCTAAGTGGCATGAGATGGTATATCAATGTGGTTTTGATTTGCATTTCTCTAATAACCAGTGATAATGAGCTTTTTTATCCTCTGCTTCTTATGTCAACTTAACATTTAACCACCATTTTGGGATACACATACTGTTAATATACATAAAAATTTTGATTATAAATCAAATAATAGAAGCTTAAAACTCCTTATTTACTGAGAAAGTATGCAAGAACTGCTAACAATGCCCTCATATATTAATGTAAAAATATAGCTTAATCAACTTTTAAAGGATACAAGTAATCCATTGGTTTTAGGAACCAAAAAAATGATGCAACTCCAAAAAAGTAATAAGCGTGCGACTCACATCTGTAATCCCAGCACTTTGGGAGCCTGAGGCAGGCAGACCACCTGAGGACAGGAGTTCGAGAGCAACCTGGCCAACATGTTGAAACCCCATCTCTACTAAAAATACAAAAATTAGCAGAGTGTAGTGGTACACACCTGTAATCCCAGCTACTTGGAAGGCTGAGGAAGGAAAGTTGCTTGAACCTGGGAGGCAGAGGTTGTAGTGAGCCAAGATCATACCACTGCACTCCAGCCTGAGTGACAGAGTGAGACTCTGTCTCAAAAAAATAAAAATAAATAAATAAAAGCAAACAAAAAAGTAATAAATTTATTCTCTTCCTTTATCACCATTTCACTTATCTTAATTTTACCAATTATCATAACTATTACCAAGACTTACAAAGATATTTCATATCCTTACTATGTAAAAACTTCTACATCATATACTCTTAAAACTAGTCTCATTCCAGCTCTAATATACATTTACTCAGGCCAAGAAATAATCCAAATAACTATTCAAACCTTAAAACTAACACTCAGCTTCAAGTTACATTATTTCTCAATAATATTTGTACCAGTGGCACTTTCTGTTACATGATCAATCAGCATTTTCAATATGATACATACATTTAGATTCAAATACTGATTTTTAAAATATTTACTTAGGCCAGGCATGGTGGCTTACGCCTGTAATACCAGCACTTTGGGAGACCGAGGCAGGTGGATCACAAGGTCAGGAGATCAAGACCATCCTGGCTAACGTGGTGAAACCTGTCTCTACTAAAAACACACAAAATTAGCTGGGCATGGTGGCACACAACCGTAGGCCCAGCTACTCGGGAGGCTGAGGCAGGAGAATCGCTTGAACCTGGGAGGCGGAGGTTGCAGTGAGCCAAGATCGTGCCACTGCACTCCAGCCTGGGTGACAGAGCTAGCAGACTCCATCTCGAAAAAAAACTTCCTTTTTTTTCCCATCGCTATACAAATTTTAGTTACTGCCAACAAACTTTGGCAACTGGCAACTCTTTGTTGGATGAGAATGGGTGGAAATTGTATCATTTTTACTTATCAAATGATGATACAGCTGAGTGAATGCAAGTATAGCAGCCCTCCCTGAGTGAATGCTATTTGACATAATCACATTGGAAACATCAGATTTCTATTATCAATAGCACAATTTTTACTATACTAAGATACATGGGAGTTTCGTCAAATTTTCATGCTCCACTTCAACCCTATATCTTTCCATTACTTGGGCTTCTTCTGGAAGCAACTGGCAAATCTGTCCACTTTGGCCTTCATCCATGATTACCATCAGCAATAGAAGGCCCAACGCCTGCCTCAGATCTACTCCATTCCAGCACAGTAGCTGTAGCAGGATTTTCCTATTAATCTGCTTTTCACCTACTCATAGAAAACAACAGAACAATTCAAAAACTGACAATATGCTTAGGTGCTGTGAACACTTTATTCACAGCAATTTGTGTCCTAACACAAA